CTAAAAATGAAAGTCAATTGAAAAGCACAAATTAAATTGAGAACCAAGATGAATAACTAAATAGAAAAAGAATTTTACATTCAAATTATGAATAACACTCTAAATTATTAATTATCTTTTAATGATCCACTAAATAAATTTGCCACACAGGAATATCATCTGGCACAACTAAATCAATAGATTTCTTTCAAAAATTAAACCTGTACTCACAATTCAACTCTTCTCATTCAAAAATTTCGCTGAACCAATTTGAAACTAAACAAATTGAACATTACCCAATTCAAGTTTCATCCTTGACCAAGAAAGTAAATGCTGAAAACAGAACAAGCTTTTAACTGACTGACACTCATTGACAATATGACCAACAAGAAAATTAATGCCAGAAACTTTTGATTAGTCATTTCTTTAAATCAAAAGTATGCACTTTCATAAACTCTTTTAATCACACATACAGTGCAAAATATTCAAATTCATCAATGGCACCACAAAAGTTATTAAGGAAACACTTAAAAGAGAAAGCCAAAAACTCCATTTCAGAAAAAACTTAAGACTCTTAAACTCTTGAATAAGTCATGAACTAGAGGTTGTGTACAAAGCAACAGACACGCAATACCAAATTAAACTTATTCATAAACATATGCCAAAGTTATTTTAACACTTGGTTTTTCCCCACAACACTGGAAAAAAATAAAGAAGACAAAAACCACAAATCCTGGGATAACAAAGGAATCAAAACCATTACGTGAAAAGAAACGTAAATGTGCATAAGAAGCAATCCTTCACCATGAATGTTACTGATTTCAGTTGCATTAATTTGCAAAACACTACACAAGTATCTAGACGAAAGTAATTAAACAGCCAAAATGGTTAACAAATGATCAATGCATTGCCAAAAGCACAAACAAAATAGAAGGCAATGTGAACATTGTGACAGAAAACAACCACACACACACACATAGGAACATTGAAGTTCACTACAAAAATAACATTTTGTGAAACCTACAAGCAGTAGCAAACACATTTAATAGACATTTCTCAGAAATTGGGAGAAAAATTAACTCATGGCAAACGACTCTTTAAATAATATAAATATGCAATCAAATATCTACACATCAACATTTGTAAACCCATATATATCTGTGAAACATCACCTGCAGAAATACAAAAAAAATCATAAATCAAATGAAAAACAAATTCTCTACGGGACCGGATAATATCCCTGACACCCTCATTAAACAATACTGCAATGAACATAAGAGAACTGCTTACTCATGTTTGTAACCACTCAATGATAAGTATCTTCCCAGAAATCTCAAAAAGCAAAAGTTCAGCCACTATTCAAAAAAGGCAACATTCACGATCTCATGAATTACAGACCAATATCCTTACTATCTGGATAAAAAATTCTAATGATAACTCAAAATTTTTAATGATAAGACTAAAATATTTCCTCAATTCAAATAACTTATTGACAGAGGACCACCACGGATTCAAAAATAGTAGATCTACAGGCACAGCTATCTTTACCTTTCTAAATGACATACTTGTTGCTCTAGATCAGAAAGAAATCGCCATCGGTTTTTTTCTAGATTTATCAAAAGCATTCAACATTATTGACGATCACCTACTGTTGTCCAAACTTGAAACTTTGGGAATTAGAGGCATTGTACATCATTGGGTTAAATCTTACCTTTCAAATCGTTGTCAAGTAGTCACAATCAAGCATGTTTAAGATAAAAGGATTTCTACCCATTTTTCCCAATCTAGAATGATAAATTATGGAGTGCCACATGGAACCCTTAGGCCCCATACTATTTCTATTATACATCAATGACATGCCCCTGACCCTACAAGAGAACAAAATGGTTCTATCTGCAGATTATTATTAATGCAAATACCCAACAAACTCTACAAAAAGAAGCACAGCCCTAGAGGCACTAGTAAAATGGTTCCAGAAAAATAAACTCATAATTAACACCAGTAAAACTGTCTCCCTAAACTTTCGGAATCCACTTGGAAAAGCCTCCAGCACAATTGATGTTAAAAAAATGTGCCTGTAAAAATAGTCCAAAAAACAACTTTCCTTGGATTGACTATTTAAGATGGTCTTAAATGGAACTTCCATATCACAGATCTAAACAACAAGCTTACCACGTCGTGTTATGCCATATACATCCTTAAGTCAATTTCTAACTTAGATACATTGTGAATGGTGTACAATGCAAATATTCACTCGCACCTAAAATACAGAATAACATTCTGGGGAAATTCTCCAGAAAGTTTTCACACTTTCATCATTCAAAAACGAATATTGAGAACAATGACAAACACTCAGAAGCATGTGTCCTGCAAACCACTGTTCAAAAAAATTACCAATACTACCACTCCCATGCATATATATATTTGAAATATCCATCTTCACTAAGAGGACACTTATGGAAAACAAGGATTCTGCCACTCTACAGAAGTTCATAACTATGATATTAGACAAAAAAGAAATCTGCATGTCCTACACAGTGAAACCTCACTCTTTCAAAAAAGTTCCCTTATAGAAGGCATTACACTATATGACGAACTCCCAAAAAACAAACTCGATTCACACATTCAAAAATAAACTGAAAGCTTTCCTGTTAAACCATACATTCTACCATACAAAGAATATATACATCATAAATGCGTATCTACATCAATATAAACTAGTACTGATAATTTTTGCATTTTCTGTTGCACGTTTTGAAACCACCCTAATCTGGTTGTTGGATATAAAGGACAGACCCAACCCAGGCACGAATCTATGACTTTTTTTCTCTTTTTTCCTTTCCCTCTTTCATTATTATTATTTTTAATTTTAGTCTTTATACCATGCCATTATATTGTATTTAGAACGAGAATTGAATTTATGCCTTGCATTAAATTTTTAGACATACCAGTATTTTGCATTGTATGATTATATACATATCCTGACCTGTCATACATGGCATATGCTGTATTTTTGTGTCAAATACACTATTTTTTTATAATCCACTTGAAAAATTTTGATGAAGAACAACTCACTCTCAGAACAGAAGCAAGGGAATATAACATGTGCATAACAGGAGTTTGAACTTCTCTTTCGCACCTGAACTATCCATTTTACTCTGTAATTAGTTTACTCGCTACAATATTTGTGTAAATCAAAATTTTGATTTTTCAAAGGTGAATACAAAATATTTAAGTACATGAAATTCAACATATAACATTAAATTTCAATCTTTTCCTGTTCAAAAAACCGTACAGTAATCAAAATAATTCAATTTTTGCCACTTACCTTTATAATCTGGATGAGCCAAACTTATCTGATCATTGCTCTGTAATATTGTTTTTTTCCCTTTGCCAAGTAATGTACCATTAATGAAGGTACCATTGGAGCTATTATCTTCTAACACAACACAAACATCCTTCTTGATTTTGAAATGCATTTTGCTAAAAGTAGCAAGAAGATCTTCTTTAACACCCACACAAATTTTCTGAAGGTCTTGTGATTCAGGAGTTAAACTGTTCCTCTCACACATAGTGTTTTCATTTGACAGTACGACATCACAACTCGGTAAACGACCCACTGAATATTCATTCTTTGTTAACACTGTAAAACAAATTATGACCACAGAAAATTCAATATTTAGTCTGAATATTCACCACTCTTAATTCTATTAGGGCAAAATATGATGTTGATTATGATTATTATTATTATTGTTGCCGTTATGATGGATAAGGTGATCAATGAACTAAAACGCATACTCTTAATATTCAATTAATTTCCATTTAATTACAGTATCTACAGAAAATAAATATAGGTTTCGGGAAACTGGGGTTAGATGCATTGCTTTCCTTTTAAAACGTTCTTCTCTTAAAGAATATTTTTTCAAGGAATTACATAAATGTAAAACCATCATAAAGTCAACATTCGATTCACTTCCACATAGTGTTTACGAGTTCAGTCGTATCCCATCATACTTCACAAGTACAAAAACCTTTCTTCGTTAAAAATGATCCTTTATAAACATGACATTCTCTAAAACAATAGTTGTCATTATATATACACACAGCATTCTTTCTTTCATGCAGTACAAATATTAGACAAATGAGAGATCAGCATTTGATGAAAACGTGCTTGACAGAAATGCCAAAACATCTTACAATGAATACTATCAACATTGAAACTTTAGTATAGATACAAACCAATCTTCACACAATAAAGTAGTGTAAATCAAACAATAATTTACCTACAGTCTTGAACCCATTTCTCACAGCATAAAGAGTTCCCCAGCTATCCGTCCATCCTTCCGTATCTTGACTGTAGAAAACACCTTCCCAAGTTTGCGTATCTGGTATTTGAGAACACATGTCGATAATTCATGAAGAAAGCACTTTTATTATCATTTATTTCTTCAACCCATATGTGCCAAAGGGGGAAATTACGGCTACGTGCCACATACAAGACTGTCAAATCAATCCTGCTTTAGTGTCTATTGGTTTCCGTCTCTACCTTCGTTACTAACATAACCCATGACCACTATAACCACTGACCAGCCACTGACATAGGCTGAGGCAAAGAGTATATATGGGCTGAGGCGGTGACTATCACGTGCCATTTTAGCGGGAAAATAGCAGACTACCAACATACTAACACGAAATACCATGTTTATTTTAAAGAATACTCTAAGATAAATTCGCGAATTTCATAAAATAAGCAGCATTGTTATTTTAACCGATTTTTTAACCAGGTCTTATGTATAAAAAACAATAATATCCCGAAAGTGGAGGTTAGATTTTTGTATATATCGGTACAGTATCCCTTCTTCGCTTTTGCGATACAATAGACGATCTCACCACAGAACACCAACACAAATCTCACCTCAATTTTATTTTTCGTAATTTAAAGAATATTCATTGGCTAAAGAGGATAACAATGGCGTTGTTGTTGTACTGTTTTTTTTAATTCAGATAAACACGAACATTCTTGTATGAACATTTTTCTAAAATACAAAATTATACTTACCCAATCCAAATGTACGGAGAAACAAAAGATTTTAGATTTACTTTTTCAGTCAAAAACAGTAAAAACTGTACGTAATGTTTGGGGGAGAAGATCTGCGCAGGTCTTCTTGAGTTCCAGAATTCCTTCCCGTCATTTTAACTATAACGTTTTAACAAGCATTATCAATTATAAATAGATGAGTAAAAAAACATTGTTTGAGAAAACAAACAAAATATATAAAAAATAAAATTTAAAAAAGTGCGAGATTAGCAACATTTAAAAAAGTAGGTTTCTTCGTTCCCGAGTTGTAGATAACATATGCAACGGTAAATGAACTGCAGATTTGATTTTTCTGCATTGCAAACAAAATAGTAACTCGCTCTTACCTCTACTCGCACCACTGCAAGCAAAAGGAGAGTTCGACAAAACTTGCGCATAGTGAAGTTACATTTACGTCCAGAAGGAAAACAAGGGGCCATCTCAGTATTTGCTCAATGGATCAGGGAAACTGGACAAAAACCTGATTGAGATGGGGGGTCATTGACCCAGAAGCTGAAGTACATTATTTGTAATAAGCATATTAAGTCTGTTTAAAAAATATACAATACAAATGAAAAATTAATTAATTACAAATCATTGTATTGTTAAAATAATCTAATTTTTCTGTTTGATGATCAATATAGTCTCTAATTGTATGCAGTTATGCAGCAGCAAAGATTTCACATTTGACTTAAATTTGTGAACCGACTTCAATTGTTTACTGTTATCTGGCAATGCGTTGCAAAGTAACGTACACGTATTGTATGTGGATTTCTCGTAGCGACCTGCTGGCACTGTCACTTGAACGTGATTTCTACGACGTAAGTTGTAATTATAGATATCAGTATTGCATGAAAATATGTTCCTCCCGTTTAGTAAGTCAGTTTTGACAAATATTTCAGATTAGTAAATAAGTAGGCTAGACAATGGTAAGATTCCAAGCTCAATGAAGTGAGGCTTGCAGGGATCACTCGGATGGCATTTTCTTTTTTTCATTATTAGAATAATTTTATTTTGTAATCTAAAGTTCTGGGTACTGCATGATGAGCCTCCCCAGAATATTATGCCACATCTCAGGCAGAAATTCACATTTGCAAAATACACGCAACGAGCTGCATGAAGTCTGACAGAATTTGAAAGAATTCTGAATGCGTAATATAATTAACTTAATTTAATGATTAATTCTGTTATATGTACATTCCATTTGAGTTTTGACTGAACTGAGAGACTTATAAATGTTACTTTAATATCAGTTAATTGCATATTGTTCATTTTCAATGGAGCATGCGATTGCTGATTTCAAATGCAAAAATACATTGAAACTGTTTTTCCGTCGTAAACTATTAACTTTTTTTAATTACAAAACCAATTTGAAACTTCTGAAATAGTACTATTTATTGTTTCTTTTTTGCAAAGAACATTCGTGTCATCGGCAAACAGACTGTTCTTCCGTTTTTAATAGATGAGGGCATATCGTTTGAGTAAAACAGAAAGAGCATTGACCCTAAGATCGAACCTTGCGGGACCCCATTTTCAATTGGGAAAAAATTGGAAAGATAAGTAAATAATGCCATTTCGTGCCAATTTGGTATTTCTATATTTTGAGATCAATGTTTAAGGTGTGTTATCCAATCTAGGGCAATGCCACGAATTCCATAAGATGGTAATTTTTATAGCAAGATGTTATGGGCAATAATGTCAAAGGCTTTCGACAGATCCAAATATATTCCAATGGGTGCTTCACTTTGGCGGTGGTGATGGGGTAACGGTTAGCGTATACCCAAGTTGGCGGGTTCAAACCCGATCGAAGCTGTAGATTTTTAAGGTCAAAAAATCCTTCGTACGCCTTCCTTTGGAGGGAAGTAAAGCCGGCTGTCCCATGTTAATAGATTTACTTGCCTGTAAAAGATCAAGCCTAAATGACGCCTCTGAGATAAATTCAAATCGCCTGTTTCGTCGCCCAAGAAATACCTCCTTTCTTCGCTAGTAAACATCTTCAATAAGGTGACCAATCGTCCTCCTTTTGTAGGTTCTGTCCTTCCTTGAAAAATGTCATCCTATTACCTGTCCTTTTCGATATTTTAAAACTAATATGTTGATCTCAGTATTAAGACATGCCATGGCGAAATGTTACGTACCTTGTGACGGTACAGTTCCGAAAGATGCGATTAGTGTTGTTAGATAGGTTGAATTCTCGTCGTTTTCAGCTTTAGTATTTCAGATTTTTGGACAAGCGAGTAATCAATTTTGAATGTTGATACTCCAACTGCAGCACTTTCCGTAAAATTCAAGATAAAGGATATTTCTTGTTCCGAAAATTTCAATACATTATTAGAAAATTATATATTGACCAAAAATTATTCATTCAATGGAAAAATGCTCGTTTAATAAAATAATTAAAAGGAACGTCAGCATAATTAATGTTTGAATTAATAAAATCGTCCTCCTTTTCATTGTAAACAAATTGGTCACCTTTTAAGAAATGCAGTTTCCGTTGATTTTGATTTTCTAAAACCGTGTTGTGAAAAGAGCACGTGAACGCAACGCCGTTCGGTCGTCGAAGAAGGAATCCAACGGTAATCAACCGGTTCCAACGCGGAGAAATTTCAAAACGAGTAGTTCACCGCTAGAGCAAGTTGGAGTTGTACAGATGTATATGACGTCACTCTTAACTTTGACTACTGAACGGAATTTGAACAAGAGCCCGACTTGGACTATCTAGTGTCAGACGACTGGGTGCCATTGCGATACATAAAGGCAGATATTTTCTTTTAAAGAACAGTCCAAACCAAAAGTTTGCAAGCTGAGTTCACTTGAACAATAGAAAGAAGCCTTGATTACATCAGTAACATACCCAACAGCTTGAGTTGTTCATATTAAGTTGTTTTGATCAACTTTTTTATGTAATTTTTCTTTGTTTTACTGGCACTTTAAAAGCATTTTATTGATCATTTTTGGCAATGTTTTAAGTCATCAAAATTCGCCCCCTACTTGTGATGATTAGAAATAAAGTGAAGTGTATGACGATGTTCTAATTCCTTGTGCGATCCAAGTATTACTTTTACATAAAATGATTAATTTACTTTTTTAAGAGGAAAGCACGCATAATGCGAAATTAATGCTTTAAGAAAAATATATTATAAATTTGGGTCACCAGCATATGTTGGCATAAAGATATAAAATTCAATATGATAAAATATATTTAATTTTCCCTTACAAAAAAGGAAAAATTGAATTTTTGTGATTAGTGATTCTATTGTTCCAGAATTTGTAAACCTTCATTTCATTTGACTTGCAGAACAAGTATTGATATGAAACAGTATTTTTGGTGTTCTTGATTTTTAGTATAGTAGACATGTTGTAGTTGCAATAGCACTTTGATGCCGTAACTTTTCTTTAGCTCTTCCTTTTGTGCAATTATTCGATTTCATCTAGTTTGACATAAAAATGCAAAAAACTATGGTACTTTGTTAATGAAACAAAAAATATAATAAATTTATTTAATCAAATTATAAAACTCAGTACATTAAAAATGACTTTAATAATTTGCAATTGATTTCACATTATTAACTGTTTCAAAAAATCAGTATGAAAATAAAATTATTTAGCCAAAATGCACACTGAAAATATTTACTATTTTAATTATTATTGATCCCAGACTTTGCGAAGCAGATTCTTGAAATCGATTTGCAAATTTTCCATTTCTCCTTCATCTAACATGAATCTTGTATCTATAAATCAATTTTAGACTATGCTCGTCTTCATGTACTTATATCTCTAAAAGTACAAACTGTCTGTGATAATATTTTCTGGTTGCAGATAGGTATCCTAATGTATCTTTTTAGGAGGCCCAACTTTAACCAAGTTTAGGGCTTTCTAAGACATTAATCCAGGTCTGTATATTTCTTAAGATTTGAGAGCATAAAATTTCCATCTCGAATTGTCCTCAATGTGTCTCAAGAGTACTACATAAGACCAATTTTATCTACAACAGATTTCTCCAGCTGCTCTTTGAAATAAGAAACTTACACTTCAGTTTTATTTTCTCTTTTGAATTTTATCACATTGAACACTCAACCAAATCATTGAATTTTTGTTAGAGAACAATAAGCTGACTTTAATAAAATATTTTGGGAAATACACCAATAAGAAAAACAAATACTGATTTGCAATGTTCTAATAATTTTATTTCTGAGCAATAAATAAAGATTTTTGCTATGTCATCAAAATATAACAATATAAAAAATAATACTCCAAATTAAAATATCACATTAGTTGCTATTACTCATAACTGAAAGCCATTGCGTTCTTTCAAAGTTAAAAAAAGAGGAACTGCTCACATCTTTCACACAACCAAGAGGAATTTTACTACAAAATTTTATCGTTATTTGCAAAATAAAATTAAATGTAAATGGTGATAGTGCTTTTTCTGATTGAAGGTTAAAATTAAATAACCCTAAAATCAATAATAAATAAAAATGTTTTACATTATCAATATTACCAGACAATACTATTCAATACAAACACTGCTGCACTTTGCAAACTGGAATGTTAAGTACTAACTTTATCATTTTCACTTCTTTATAAGAGAAAATCGAGTATATACTGACAATTCAATAAGCTACTATTACAATATTGCTAAGATCACACATAGTAATTGCTACCAACATAGAGCCCATCTATTAACCACATACTGCTGTTTTTAGATTATTGTATCACATATTTGATAAAATCAATGTTTTTAACACCTTCAATTTCATAGTTGAAAAGAAGCAATAACAAAATTTAAAAATCTACGAAAATATATTTTATACATTTAACAATATATACAATATTCCTCATGCAAGATAGTTCCTGAATCTGAGCAAGCAAAAGTTCTGTACATTGAAATAGCTACACTGAAATCTGAAGCTTTACATTTGTACTACTTAAAAAATGACTGTAATAAAGCTACTCAAAGGAGAATAATCCCATGGTCCCTCTCCAGTCTTCTCTTTGCTTTCAGTGGCACTGTTCCCATGAGGTCTGCAGGGGTAGGAAGGCCAGGCGTGCTTCCAACAGGTTGTTGGTAGAACACTTCTGTTCTGCCACATTGGTAGCCATACACAGTACTGTCATCACATCTGAAAAAAAAAATTGAATAATTAGAAACCCAAACAATACATGTGATAATTAATAAAATGTAACCACATTTAATTTTATTTACTTTTGTAAAAAATCAATGAAAACTGTATGTGATGTCAGGAGGAGAAGTATATACTCGCACGTTTTCTAGAGATCCAGAATCTCTAGACCCCCCCTTTTACTATACACAGATGAACAATAAATGAAAGTACCAACAAAGTGGGCTGAGCAACATTTGAAAATTAAGACATTTTATTCCAGAATAAAAGAAACCTTATTTACATTGGCATACAAACTTCCTTTGATTTTATAATATTGCTAACAGAATCTACACTCCCTGGCTCTTCTCCTACCAGAGTCATCAAAAGGACAGTTCAATAGAGTGATTAGTGAAACCACATTTATCTCCTAAAAGAAACAAGAGGCCAACATTTGCTCAATAGATCAACGCAAACCACAAAATACCTGCTTGAGATGGGGCCACTGGCAAGTTGAAGTACATTTGTTACAGGTGTTACAGACTACAACTGGTAACTAAACAGTGGAGCACCCAGGAGGAAGAATAAAAAAATATAGCTTTGACTGATTTTGTATACTAAGGAAAGTCATTCAACAAATTAATTTAATCAATAAATCATTATTAAAATTATTATTGTAATGAACATTACCTGCAAGTCAACAAATAAAAATAAAATTTATATTAAGCATAATAAAACATTTTTTGTAAGTAGGGAACAGATTTTTATGTAAATAAATAATTATTATAGGTAGAGTATTGTGGCGTCGTCGGGTGCAACACACAGACACGGAGTTGTTTATACAGTTTTATTACACTATATACATACTCCTGGGAAATGCGCTGCACTCCCAGCACTGTACATCTCTGAGGCATCCCCGCCCCAGCCTGACGCAGACCACAGCGGCTTGGCGCCGCTCCTGGCCTTTTGTCCCGTGGCAACCGCCACACCTCGCTGCCGAAGCT